CTTAGAAATGATCTGGATTTGAAGAATTGAGAAGTTTTGAGGTTGAAGGAAAGTGTTTTTGAAGACACTTTTCTTTTTTTTTGTTTTTTCAGAAAGAAGACTAAAGAGATGAAGATTCAAGAGATTAAGTCAAGAAATTGACAAAATTGTAGAAATGCTTGATTTCGTGGTGAANAAAATTATACTAATTTAATAAAATTAAGCATTTATTTAATCAAATAAACATTACATTTAATATAGAAAAACATTACATCTAATATAAAAAAAAAAAAAAAAAAAAAAAAAAACACAAAGGTAAAATTCCATATTGATAGTAATTTAATTTTCCGAATTAGTATGTTCTTCCCACAAATGATCAATTCATGCATTTCGAAGAGTATGGTGAGCCTTTGTATCCTTGATTTGTTTATGTCGAGCAAGAAAATTTCGAAATCGGACATTTTCATCTACAACAATTTCAACTTCGGGAGTTGGCGCTTCCATCTGATTCTCAATCGATGTATCAACATTACGATCATCCTCGATTATCATCTTGTGCATAATAATACACGCAGTCATTATATCATATAATACATTTTTATCCCAAAAATGTGTCGGTCCTGCCACAATTGCAAATCGCGATTGGAAAACTCCAAATGCACGTTCCACATCTTTTCTACATCTTTCTTGTTTCATTGCAAATAATTTTTTTTTTGGGACCACGTGGATCGTGAATAGTTTGTACGAGAGTAGACCACTTTGGGTATATACCATCAGCTAAATAATAACCCATATTATAATCTTTTCCTTGAATGCTATAATGAGCGGGAGGAGCAATACCTTGAGTTAGGTTGACAAACAAATGAGATGTCTCCAACACATTAATGTCATTGTTGGAACCTGGCAAACCAAAAAATGCATGCCATATCCAAAGATCATAATCAGCTATAGCCTCGAGAATAATAGTTGGGGATCCACTACGACCAGCATATTGTCCTGCCCAAGCTGTTGGACAATTTTTCCACTTCCAGTGCATATAATCTAAACTACCCAACATTCTTGGAAAACCACGTTGTTCACCTATATGAAGTAGCCTTGCAACATCATTAGCATTAGGCGATCTTAGATATCGTTCTGCAAATACCTCAACAACAGCACGACAAAATCTCTTCAAACTTTCAATGGTTGTAGACTCGCCTATTTTAATATACTCATCAGTAGCATCTGCCGGTAGACCATACGCCAACATTTGGAATACCGCTGTTATTTTTTGAAAAGCAGACAATCTGAGCCTACCGAGCCCATCCCTTCGTTGTACAAAGTAGTTATCATGACCTTTCACATGATCAACAATACGAATGAATAAATTGCGAGACATTTGAAATCGTCGGCGAAACATGGAATCATTAAACCGTGGATTCTTGGCAAAATAATCTTTGAACAAATTGCGATCAGTAGTTTCCCGGTTGTGATTGATGACTTTATGACCAGGAATTGATCCTTTACGGATCACCTAGTTGTTATGTTGATTGAGATAGTGAATGAGGAGAAGGAGGTTGTTGTTAGCTCTCATGCGAATGATTGCTTCTTGCTCTACATCAATTGCTTCAAGATCATTCATCAATTCCTCATCATCAATTTCATTGTCGGAAAATGATGATGAATTAGAAGATGATAAATGAGATGGACCTCCAAAATTGAAATTCATCTTTGTAGATATATTAGTTGAATGATTTGGTGTAGCTTTTATAGTTGAAGAAAACACTATTCTAGATAAAAAAATAATAATTCAAAAAGATGTATTGTCCATTCAAGCTTTTGAGATTTGTGACTTATTCAAAAAGATGTATTGTCCATTCAAGCTTTTGAGATTTGTGGCTTATTCAAAAAGATGTATTGTCCACTCAAGCTTTTGAGATTTGTGGCTTATTCAAAAAGATGTATTGTCCATTCAAGCTTTTCAGATTTGTGGCTTATTCAAAAAGATGTATTGTCCATTTAAGCTTTTGAGATTTGTAGCTAATTCAAAAAGATGTATTGTCCATTCAAGCTTTTTAGATTTGTGGCTAATTCAAAAAGATGTATTATCTATTCAAGCTTTTTAGATTTATAGCTTATTTCAAAAGATATATTATTCATTTAAGCTCAAAAAGATGTGTTGTCCATTCAAGCTTTTTAGATTTAATGTTTTTAAATTAGTATTAATTTTTATTTTGAGTTATTGTAGTTTAATATTTGCATTGAATAAAGTTTTATTTTTAATTTTTCATCATTTTTTGAATTATATCATTATTATGAATTTATTATTATAAATAATAATCAAATTAAATTAAATACAAATAATCAAATTTGGTGTAAAATTTAATACTCAAATTAACTTAACAAAATTAAAAACAAAAACAAAAACAAAATTAAAAAAAAAAAAATTAATGCGCTACAGTGCCACCCCATTTTGGCATGGCGCTTAGCTCTGGGTTGGAGTAACAACCCACGCCATTTTGGTGTTTTTGTGTTTTTTACACCAAAATGGTGTGGGTTAGAGATGCCCTTAGTATGATAAATGCATTGTAATAATAATTAGTATACAAAGTTTTAAGTGTCATAACTTGTGATAAGTATGACATTGCTTTTATTATCATGGTTTTAAAACCTAGCTTGGCCCAGCCAATTGAACAGGTTCGACCAGGAACCGGTGGCTAAGCCAGGTCAGTTCATATAAAAAACCGAAAATAGCAATTGACCCGTGTTCACCCGCAGTTGAACCGGTTTTTTTGCGACGAACCGTCGGTCCAACCGGTATAAACCGGGTCAGTTACATTAAAATATAAAAAAATAATAAAATTAAAACTTAAAAGTAACCCTTTTCATTTCAACTTTTCTCTTCTCCCTTCCCCAATTTTATTCGACAAAACCCAACACCAGAGAGAAGAAAAATAAAAAACCCATTACCAAAAATGAAATCAGCTTCTACGATCTTGGGCTTCTTTGATTCCGATTTCAATCATCAAAATCTTCAACTAATCTTCAATCTTCGGGCCTTGGACAACTTCTAAATCTCTAATTTTCCATATTCGGTTTTGATAACTCCTTCTTCTTTGATCTTCAATCTTCGGCAGCTCCCAAAAGGTATGTGTATTTCATTGTTGTTAACTTCTTATTGTTATTGTTCTTTGTAACTTTGATTTTTGTTTTGCTGTGAGATTGTTTGAGATAGAGTCATAGAGATTGTTTGATATTAAAGAAGTGGGCTTGAAACTTGATATTGAAGAGGTGATTGTTTGGTGTAAGATTGGTTGTGTTTGAAAATTGAAGTGTGTAAAAATGGCTAGTTTGATTGGTTGTGTGTAGTGTGCAAAAATAGACTATAGTGTGCATTTTGACACTTTGTTTTTGCACACTACAGTTTGTGATTCAGTGTGTACTTGCACTCTGCAGTGTGTATTTGCACTCTGCAATGTGCAAATTCACATACTGCAATTTTGCACACTGTAGTGTGCTATTTCTCATATATGCAATGTCCCAAATTTATTTGCAATTTTTTAATTCATTGCTTAAAGAGTATAAGTTAAGTGCTAACATTTATCTTTGTTGTTGTTGGTTGCCAAGGAATAGACGAAAATCGAGAATGTCATCATCTGGGTCTGGGCAACAGTCTTCGCCCATGGGTACTTCCTCACAATCTTATCGAGGAAGGAGTGATATAGTATGGGGACATGTTGTTGAGGGCATTGATGAAAATGGAAGGAAGACATTAACATGTATATATCGTTCAAAGGTGATTAAAGGGGGAGGTATTTATCGTATGAAACTCCATCTAGCAAGAGTAAAGGGGGAAGTTGGAATGTGTTCTAGGGTTCTTTTTTATGTTCAATTTCGGATAAAAGAGGCACTAAATGATATTGGGGTAAAGAATACCCCAAAAATAGAGACTTGTAAGCGTACACATCCTTATGGTGCTAGTGTTCATGGATTTGAGGGTGACATGTTGGGTGAAGATTGTCAAGAGCTGCATCCATCAGAAATGGTTGTGAATGAAGGTGGTTCTGCTAGAAAAAAACCACGTACAATCCCTAATACTAATAGAAATAAACCAGTTGGGATTAGTAACTACTTTGCTCCAAGGACTACTCCTGGATCTCAACCTTTAATTAAGAGTGTTTTGGTTGGGAAAAATGTTATGTCGAGAGTTGATATGGCCTTTGCAAAGTTTTTTTATGATGCTTGCATCCCTATCAATGCAATAAATTCAATTTATCTTCAGTCATTGGTGGATGCTATAGCTACAATAGGTCTTGGGTATAAACACCCAACTTATCATGCTATGCGAGTTAATTTAAAAGAGATGCTAAAAGCAAGTGCAGCTACTTGTGAATAGTTATAGGAAAACATAGGAAGACGTTGGATGTACGTTAATGGCGAATGGTTGGATTGATACTTGCCAAAGGTCATTGATTAAGTTTCTTGTGTATTGCCATAAAGGAGTTTCCTTTGTGAAGTCAATGGATGCTTCATATGTTGTGAAGGATGTCGGGACATTGTTCACCTTACTTGAGGAAGTAGTTGTATGGGTTGGACCAAATAACATTGTCCATCTTGTCACTGACAATGGACCAAATTATAAAGTTGCATGAAGAATGTTGGCTGAGAAATATAAGAGTATAACTTGGTCATCTTGTGCAACAAATTGCATAAACTTGATGTTAAAGGATATGGCTGAGATGAATCACATAGCCACTCTTGCAAAACGTGCATCTGAGGTGACAAAGTTTGTGAATAATCATACATTTTTGCTAGCATGGTTGAGGAAAAGATAGGTAATGTATCTTTAGCTTATTTTATTGTGAAGTTATAAGTCATAACATATTAATTATTATCTGGAAAACAATTTTACCAACATGTATATTTGTCTTTTGTCACTTGAACAAGGTTGGACGAAAATTGTACGCCCAAGAGAAACTCGTTTTGCTACAACTTGTATTGCCTTGAGAAGTCTACAGGATCACAAACATGACTTGTAAGCCATGGTGACAGATAGATTCTTCATGGATTCTAGGTATGCAAAAAGTCATAAAGGCAAGGAAGTTATTTCCATAATTGTAGACAACGAATTATGGGATGCAATATGTATAGTTTCCAAAGTTGTGGATCCGTTGATGCGTATGCTACGAATTGTAGACTCGAATGAGAGACCTTCCATTGGATATGTGTATGATGGTATGTACAGAACGAGGTTGGGGATCAAGAAGTTGTTTAAGAATAAGAAGAGATTGTACAAGCCTTATACAAACATTATTAAGCTGCGATGGGATAGGATGTTACGCCGTGATATTCATGTTACAACTTACTTTTTAAATCCAGCTTTCCAGTATGATAGTGGATTTAGCTCCAAACCGGAGGTTCAATGTGGTTTTCTTGATGTTGTTGAGAGTAAGGCAAGTGCGTTTAAATTAAACAAGACTGCATTGGTGGAGGAGAGTAGAATATTTCGAGACCGCGGGGGGAGCTTTTCTTGGGAACTTGCAATTCAAACATGCAAAACCACACAACCGGGTATGTATTATGTAATAGTTATTTAATTGTGAGTTTTAAGTTTGATTTCCACATTGTAAATTAAAGTTTTTTCTTGTGTCTAATTTTCATTTAGATGAATGGTGGAGAACATATGGGTATAATACTCCAAATTTACAAAAGTTTGCAATCAAAATTCTCAGCCAGACTTCAACCTCTTTCAGGTGTGAGTGAAATTGGAGTGTTTTTTAGCGCATAAATTAAAAAACGAGGAATAGATTGGAGCATCAACGATTAAATGATCTTGTCTTTGTTCATTATAACTTGCGGTTGAAAAACAGGTATAAAACATTGTTGATTACGTTGTACACTTGTACTCATTTTCTCATTATTCTTATTTTCCTTGATCTTTTTATTTGTCATGCTCTAAATTTAAATAGTTAAAAATGGTCTTCCAGGATGAGTTACAAGAAAACTAGTTTCGATCCTATTGATTATGAGAGCATCGACAAGACTGACTTCTGGGTGTTTGATGACGAAGAGGAGGATGCTAGCCTTAATTATGAGGAATGGGAACAAACACTTTATGGAGAGGGATCTATTCCTATTGGTCCTGGTGATCACCCTACCTATTATGATTTTACAGAAGCTGCTGGAGGTTCTAACTTCTAACTAATAACTTTCATTTATGTTATTTAATTTAACTTATATTATTTAATTTAGTTTGTTAAATTTTATATTACATTAGTCCATTTAGTTTACAATCAAAACATTTAACTAATAACTTTATTTTTGCTTGCAATTTTTTGTAGATGCTGGTTATGCTGATGATGACAATTACGAAGATGATCTTGATATAAGTAATTTTGCTTCTGGATCTGGTGTCCAAAGTCAACCTTGACTTGAATTAAATGGAAATGTAATAGAAATGTAGGATGTTGGTTTCATTTTGATTATGTTGTTTTAATTTAATTTTAAACTACTTCTTAGTTGTTACTTTATAACTTGGTATGTTGTAGACTTGTAGTTTTAATTTCATTTCAGATTTGAATATATTTGTTACAGGGAAATTTTGATTATCAATGTTAAAAATTAAAATCTGCAATTTTTTTTTTTTTTTGCTGACACCATGCTGCCGGTGGCTTAGCTAGGTTGGCCCCTGGTCGGGTTTTAAAACATTGTTTATTATAAGTGTCACATCAGCAAAACTATACAAGCATGTTAATTAATTATGATTATTAAGAGGATCTCTTCAAAAAATTTAATATATGATATTCCACTGCTTGGTGGATAAAGAAAGACGTATTGCAAATCTTGTATATAATTATAATATATATTATATTTATCAAATTATATTAAACAATTTCATGGGAGTAGATAAATATAATTTTTCTTAATTAACAAACTTGATACGTTTCATGCGGAGAAGATTATTTATCAAATAAAGTTCCATTATACTTGAAATATTATAAAAAAAAAATACTAATAAAATTTTGAAAAATCAATCAGAAGTTATGACGTCATTGATGAACATAGATAATGTAAAAGTCAGTCATGTCTTTGAAAAGTCCAATGATTCTAAAATGAAGTCAATTTGATGTGGAGAGCGTGCATGTATTCAATTTGATGTCTTCTTATTTAATAAACCATTTACTTATATAATCTATTTTTGTGGAGGTGTTAAATTTGTATTAATTAAGTGTTTGACAATAACTGATTTAAGAAAAAGTAAAGATAAGTATAATTTTTAGAACCTAAGTGAATTTCTAGATTGTTTTATTTAATAACTTATCAAAAGGATGGAAAGACTAAATTGATTATCATACAAATTTCTTAGTAATGAGAAGGGGAAATGACAATTTACTCCTTCAAGTTTGGTTTAAATAATAGAGTAAATGACATGTTTCCGCCCAAGGTTTGGCGAAATTGCAAGTTTTCACCCCTGGTTCCATAAATTTCAGATTCTTACTATTAAATTAACAGAAAATCGTTTAATGTTACAGTTAAAGGGTAAAGTGATAATTTATACTACATTAAATATGAAATTAAAATAAAAATTTCAAAATAACCTTCCATATCTCAATTTTTTCTCACAATCACCCTCTCTGTAAACAGTAATGCTACATCAACTAATTCTCTCACTAACCCTCCCATACCGATTGACATGGCAGCTGACACATCATCAACCAAATCACCATCTTACCAAGTCAGTTCCCTCAAAAACCAAAACAGAAAATTTCTTCCATTGCACGCCAAAACCATTGTTCTCCACGCCTCACCAAAACAACCCGAACCTAGTTTCCTCACCGGACACCACCACGCCTGGTTTCCAAAACTTAGCAGACGCCGCCACGTCTAGCCAGAACCGTATAGGGATGTTGTGAGGTTGTGCTACATTTATGCTCTTTGCTCATATGTTGCGAAAATCTTTGGCAAAAAATCAATTTTTGGGTTAGATTTCTATAGTATATTAAATCTGTGTTTATCTCAGGTTAGGTTTGTCGATATATGTATCCAAAGTTATAGTGTCATAGTGATTCATGTCTTTGACTACAGTGGTTGAAGTTGCACTTGCAGTTAAATTGATTGTGTAAGTATTTGTTTAAAAGATGCACTTGACAAATGTTCTCAGAAAACATGATTTTAGTGTGTTTGTAGATTATTTCAGTCCTATGTTTTTATCATTGTGTCATAGCGTTTCTTTTGTATGTAAATGGTTGAGAATGCCCGAGGTCATTATGTTGATGCTTGATTTTGGGCACCAACTAACTGATACGTGTGCAGCGTTGATTGATCAAAAAGCACACGTGAAAGTGAATATAAAAAGCGAAATAAATGCTATGAGAGTTTTTAAAGTGGTTCGGATGCTCAGGTAGCAAGTCCTACGTCCACTGATTTGTATTGATATTGATAATGTGGGTCAGGTCGCGACAGCGGACTGACTTACAAAAGGTTGGGAAATAGACACAAAAGCGAGAGAGAGAGAGTTTTTTTGTGAAAATTGTCGAATCCCCTTAATGAAGGGGTCTTCCTCTTCTTATACCCAGTTGTATGTCCGTAATCATCACTAAATCCTTGGGTTGGTGTGATTGTCAGGACCTAATCTGATTTTATGTCCCATTACCCATTTTCCAAGCCGATTTCACGCGATTTGGAGCAGGCTAGCGGACACGTGGGAGCACTAGGGCGTTTGGCAGGCCTAACGTGCGCTTACCGTTCTGACGGGAGCAGGCCACGTTTCATCACGCAACTCCACGTCAGCCTTTGATTTCTTAGTCATAACAGAAGCCCCCTAGTTTGTAAGGTTTGAGGGTCGAACCTTGGAAACTAAGTCATGCCGCGGTTGGAGGTTTTGGTCGTTCCGACCTGAATAGAAGAAGCTTGGGACATGACCTTCGGCGAACACGACCTTGCACAGTTCTTGCCCAAGCGACCTGAGAATAGTCATTTTAACGACCTGGATTCGTCGGGCGTTCCTTCCTATGCTGTGGAGAGATTCAATGAACCTGCATCCGCGCTGTCGGGCACTCTGCTCGCGCTGTAATGTGTCAGGTGCATTAAATGCGTGGTGCTGACTCGACGTCGTATTGACAGCTTTTGATTGCTCAACGCATTTGAAACGTCAGCCCTTATTATGGTATTTAATGCGACGTATGGCGCATTAAATGCGGGGAGGAGAGAGAAGGCTGTCGCTTCGATTCCGAGAGGCTGCAACCGTCGGTTCGTTGCCCATATAAGAACTCACATTTTTCAGATGAGGTAACAAAAATCCCTTTTGCTTCAAGTGACAAGCCTTTGCAAACCAAAAACCATTCTTTTCCGATCGGCGCTTCTCAGGCTACTGAAACGAGTTTCGGCCTCGGTTACTCATCCCAGAAGGTAAGATTCTCTTCTTCCTCTCTTTTTTTTTTTTTTTTTTGCATTTGTTTGGTTGGTGGGCAACGACATTGAGTCTCTCGGTGTTCCACCAGAGACGCGCCACGGTTGCCGGACTCAAGCCGTGGGTGGCGGCTCAAGTTACTATTAGGGTTTTGGGAATTTGTCCCCTGCTGCCGCACGGGACAAAACACGAAGGCCTAAATGACCGTGTCTGTCGATGTTGCAGACTCGAATGGATTCGTCAACGTCCAGACCCGAGGAAGGAACCAGCTCGTCCACGCGGGAAGTTCCCGCGGATGCGTCCCTTGAAGTCTTCTCGGTTCTCACCCGAGAAGAATTTGATAGGATTAAAAGACAGTATAACGTCCGAGCAGAGGTGTTCCTCGACCACACCAGGTCGTCGCGACATCCTGTCGACGGTCTTGCTGCGATCTCCGAAGAGATATTCAAGGGTGGAGGGATGATTCCCTTCCATCCTTTCATCAGGTCGGTCCTGGATCACTTCGGGATCGCACCGATGCAGCTCACACCGAACGCGTATGTCATCGCCGTCGCGATGTACATTGCGTGCTGCGAGAGCGGCTTGGGCGAGCCAACGGTGGTGGAGCTCGGCGTCGCTTATTATCTCAAAAAGAGTAGGGACAAGGATTCGTATTACTTGTCCCGGCGACCAACCATTGCCGAGGGGATACATAGCTATCCCAGCAACGCGGGAGCCTACGAGACCAAATTCTTCTTTTTCTACTATGACGGCTACTGCCACTTTCAGACGCCAAGTAGGTTCTTCTTCGTTAGGTATATTATCTGTTCACATGCTTTATGATAACGACCTGTTTCTTCTTTTGCAGTCAATAGAACGACCAACCAAGACTTGCTCGATGACCCGGACAGACTTGTATCTTTTGGAGTGCTGCCCGAGGAAAGCCGAGACGCGAGGAAGCTAGTGACTACCGCGAACCTGCGGAAGTACGGTTTTATCAATAGCAACGCGTCTTTAGAACCCCTTGAAGAAGGTAAGCTATATTAGTTCTTTCTTTCTGGTCGCTGAATAGTTTTGTTTACTAACGCACTTTCGTGCAGAAGTTATGCCTCCAAAAGAGTCCGGGCAGTCTCGCCGAGCACCGTTTGTCTTCCCTCGATCGAGGAGGAGAGGGCGGCTGAAGCTGCTCGTCCTATCCCGGCACAACCGGCGTGAACTGTCACGCCCTCACGCCCCCAACCCGTGCAAGGAACGACCAGGGCGGAGCAGGTCGCTCAGGCACCACCGACTCGCCCAAAGCGAAAGGCTCCGGCTCAAAAGTCAAAAAAGAGGAAACAGGTTCAGGTTGACGAGTCTGAAACTGAATCCGAGGAGGAGCCCTTGAGGTCGCGACAGGACTCAAGGAGGTCGGGCAAAGAGCCCGTGAGCGAGGCGATCGCAAAGGACGCACCAGTGCTTGACTCACTGGGGAGCCTGCCCGAGTATCTGCAACCAATAGTCTATTCTCTACTTGAGTGTGGACTATCGGAATCGTATGATGAGTTCGCTGACACGGGCGACGACCTGATGACCACGTCTTTCCAGCATCTAGGCAAGGTAAGCGAGCTGCATCTAAGCAGGGTAAGCGAGCTGCTCTTAAAACCATCCTGGTTCATTTCTAATCACTTTCTTGCTCGCAAGCTTTGCTTGCGATGAGGATGTCTATAGAGAAGACCTGGCTAGGGGCCGCGAAGGAGTCCAGTGAGCAAGAGGAGATTGCGAAGCTTAAGAAAAGCCTGGAGTCCGCCGAAGCTGAAAGAACATAGGCATTTGATGCGGCGAACAGGTACCTGGTCCAAAAGGATGCCGCTTTGCGAACTGTAGACTTCCAGAAGGCGGAGCTCGAGCGACGTGAGGAGGAAGTAAAGGAGCTTCAAAGGACAACCGCCAGGCTCTCCAAGGAGGTCGGGGAGAAGGATCAGAAGATCCAGACGACCTCCATATGGGCTCAGAAGGCTGAACAGGAAAGGGAGGCCTCCGATCAGGAGAAGCGAGCTCTTGAG